TTTATAATTTTTAATTTTATTTTTTAAACAAAGGTAATGTTAGTATCTTAATATAGTTAGATACAACTGAAAGGGTTTGCTATTACTCTATCAGCTCGAACTCCTTACCTCAATTTGAATATACCCTAAGGTATGGCTACTAGGCCATTGAGTCAAATCCCAATGTCGTACTGATAATATATTCAAGTCTTGTATGAAAATAAGTTATTTTAGTAACTTTTAAAATTATATGAGAATAAAAAAATTAGAATTATTTAAATGAATTGTTGGTTTTTTACAAAAATAAAAAAAAAAGTGTAAATTTTTTTTTAATTAAAAATAAAAACTTTACTTTTTGTATAATTTATTGACTTTTTAAATTTTTTTAATAATTTTTTAACTTTTAAACTAAAATATAGAGTTGCTAAAGACATGATTTGAAAACTCTTACCAAACATGTTATTCGAATGTAAAGGTGGAATTAAGTTTTGAAAGTCCTACAAAACACAGCCTTACTTTTTTTTCGTATTTTATTTTATTTTCAATGAATTTTTAAATATTTTAAGCAATTCTTTTAATTTTTAGACACACCTGACATAAATACAGTTAAAAAGTATAATATTTGTGAAAAAAATCTTTAAAAAATTCACTAAATATCAAAAATATATTTAAAAAAAACAAAATTCAATATATTTTTTGTATTTTTGTGTATTTATTAATTTTTTGAAATATTTTTCATAAATATTTTATTATTTAGATACATCTAAGTAAGATGCATCAAAAAAAAAAAAAAAAAAATTTTTTAAAATTTTAAAAATATTAATTAAAAAAAAAAAAAAAAAAAAAAAAAAACTCAGTTTTCAGAAAACTAAATTCATAAATTTGAAACCAAATACACTAAGAGGTGTTTTGGAAAGATGGTTAAAATTTGATTTTTTAAATTTTTTTGACTTCTTTATGTGAGAAATGATATGATTTAAAATAAATTAAAAAATAATTTTAAACTTTTTTATGATGTTCTCGGTTAGAATAGTAGAGAGAGAAAAATAATATGTATTGCATTGAATAAATTGTATTGAATGGATTTTTTTATACAATACAAAGTATGTATATATAAGTTCAGAAAGAGTATCCTATTAAAAATCTAATTATAAAAAAAAATATTCAATAAAACATCTAACCATGACATACTATATATTTAAAAAATTAATACCTAATATACGTAAAAATATATTCCATATGTACATTAACAAAAATTCCCAAATGGCCGCTGAGTAATTTGCTTATGAAATAGCAAGTTGATACACAGGTCTACGTCATTACTTACAGAATTGGTAAGCAATCTTCCAACGAAGGAATACCGAATCAATTTTTGTTTTTTTGGGGATTGTTTAATAGACGACGCCGTACTCTACTCCACCATAAAGATTGTGTAACAACGGTCACAACGGTGCTACGGATTCTCAGTGGGGGCACTCTCAGCACTCTTAATTTTTTTTCATTGGTCAATTTTAATTTTTTTTTTTCAATCACCCACAGTTAAAGATGGCAATTGAAACTCGGCTCGATGGGGACTCAATTCCCCGACCCCGAATTGAACGGTTATTCTCAGAAAAATACTTTCGATGGGCTGGGAATGGCATTAAAAATTAAATCCCCGATGATATTCGAGCCAGGGACGGAGATACATGTTTCAGCCCGGACTCGGCCCCGATCCCCGGCCCGGTTGCCCCCCGACGTGAAATTACTCTTTTACCCCTCCTTATATGTAACATGTGTGTGTGTGTGTGTGTGTAGGGTTTAGTTTGAACACACACACACACACTCAACACAAACGCAACACAGACAGAGCCGTCTCTACTCTAGCGCTCTCTCTTTCTTTCTCTCTCTCTCTCTCTCTCTCTCTATCACACAACGACGGCGGCGCCGATCCCCCGTCACCACCAATCGTCCCTCACTCCCGATCCCCCCTCACCGCCGCTCGTACCTCACAGATCGTCCTCCCTCACCGCCGTTGCTGGTAAGACCTTAGAGTTTCACCTCCATCTTTTCTCTCTCTCTCTCTCTCTCTCTCTCTCTCTCTCTTTCCATCTTCTCTCTCGGTTTCTCTCTTCCTTCTCTCTCTTTCAGTAGATCGAGTAGCAGCGGTAACGAAGGGATTGTGTCGCAGTCTCCGGCGCGGTCTCGCAGTCTCCAATCGTGTACAGGGGGAAGCAGGTGGCGTTGGAGGTAGCGTACGTGATGATGAGAACAGATTTTTACTTAGATCGCTGTGTTGTTGATCGCTGCGTTGTTGATTTCAGATTTTTTTACTCAGATTTCTTCAATTTCAGATTTTTTTTTTTCAAAGTTAATGATTGTTGTTCATGATGATTGTTGATGTTGATATTGATGATGAGAATAGATTAATTTTTTTTTTTGTTGTTGTTGATGATGATAATGAGAACAGATTAATTCTTGTGTTGTGTTGAACAAAATAAAAATAAGAAAAAAGGAAATAAAAAAAAGGGTCGGGGATATTTCGGGGTCAGGAAAACCTGATCCCCGATCGGGGGAGGGGACAGGGAGGGCGATAGGCTCCCCGCCAGGGATCGGGGGCGAGGACGGGGAATTTATCGCTTTCGAGGATCGGGGATCGGGGATCGGGGACGGGAAGTATGGTCCCCGGCCCCGCCCCGTTGCCATTCCTACCCATAGCTACGTGGGGCTAGGGGTCATTGGGGGTCACTTGGGGGTGGGGGTCTGCTGCATTTTTCATTGTGTAAAATGAAACTTGGATTGGTTTGGGATGGAGGTTAATTTTTTAGTTTTATAATTTTTTTTAATTATTTTAATTTGGAATTAAAAAGTGTTATTTATAATAAGTTTTTTGACTTTTATAAAAGAAAAAAATGAAATAATTATGATTTGAATGTGATATTATAACTACATATTAGACAAAGGCCTCATTTGGAAACATGTTTTTTTAGTAATTTTTTTAACTTTTTTACTAAAATGTGATGTAAAAAAAATTAATATGTTTGGGATGATTTTTTGGCTTTTTACGAAAAGATATGCAAAATGTAGAGAGAAAATAGAATCTTTAATTTTTTGGTATAAGTTGTCGTTTTTTAACTTTTTTTTTAGTGACTTTTTTAAACGAGGTCAAAGTCTTTGTTTAGCATAAGTTAAAATAAGACTTTTTGAATAATATATATATATATATTACAAAGACAACATTAATTAACATATAATTAGATTACAACTTTTTTATGATGTTCCCGGTTCGAATAGTAGAGAGAGTTAGAATAGTAGAGAAAAAAAAAAAATATGTATTGTATTGAATGAATTGTATTGAATGAATTTTTTTTATACAATAGAAGGCATGGATATATAAATTGAGAAAGAATGTCCTATTAGAAGTCTAATTATAAGAAAAAGTATTCTATAAGAAATCTAACCATGACAATACTTAATTTATTTAAAAAAATCAATGCCTAATATATATAAGAATAAATTCTATATAGTTTGGCAAGAGTTTTTGTGGCTATTTTAGTCACAAAAGACAAAATAGGTTATTTTAATCACAAAAAATAAAACATCACATTTAATTTATAATTATTATACTATTCTCTCACAAAAAAAATCAAAAAAATAAAAAAAGTCAAAAAAACACTTTCCAAATTAAACTTTTTAACCTAAATTAGTTTGTTTATGAAATAGCAAGTTGATTCACTGGTCATTACTTACCGAATTGGTAAGCAATCTTCTAACGAAGGAATACCGAATCAAATTTTCTTCTCTTTTTTTTTTTTTTTGTAATGCTTTATATATAAATAGACGACGCCGTACTCTGTACTGCACCACAAAGATTGTGTAAAATGAATTTGGATTGGTTTGGGATGTGGGTTAATTTTTTTGTTTTATAATTTTTTTTTATTATTTTAGTTTAAAATTAAAAAGTCTTATTTATTTTGTTTTTTTTAATTATTTTAGTCAAAAAATCATATTTAGTTTATTTCAAAAGAAGTATATATATATATAACTACATATTAGACAAAGTCTTTATTTGGCATAAGTTAAAATAAACCTTTTTAGCTAATATATATTACAAAGACAGCGTTAAAAATATTTGTCGTTACTCTATCTGTTCAAACTTTTGATTTCAATCTCACCATACCGTAAGGTGTGACAATTATACCATTGAGCCAAACTCCAATGTCTTATTGATACTCATCTGAAAATAGACTAGTTTAATAATTTTTTGCTAAAATATCAAGTAAAAAAATTTATTAATGTGTTTGTTTTAGTTTTCTGAAAATTAATTTTAATGTGTTTGTTTTAGTTTTCTGAAAATTAATTTTTTATTTTTCGTGTTTTTTTTTATTTTTAGTGAATATTTTTAAAATTTAAGTAATTTTTTTTTACACTTTTGGACGTACCTTACTTAGATATATCTAAATAGTAAATTATTTGTAAAAAAATATTTTAAAAAATTAATAAATACACAAAAATACGAAAAATGTACTAAATTTTTATATATTTTTTTATATTTTTGATATTCAGTGAATTTTTTTAAAGATTTTTTTCACTAATATTATACTTTTTAAGTGTATTAGGTGTGTTTAAAAATTAAAGAATTACTTAAAATATTAAAAAAATTCAATAAAAATAAAAAAAATATGAAAAAAGAAACAGTAAAATTCTCTAAAAAAGTGAATTCTAAAAGTTAGAAACAGAGTGTATAGTATTTTGGAATGACTTGGTTTTTTTTTTTTTTACATAAAAAAAAAGAAAAAAAATAAAGGGAAAATAGAATATTTAATTTTATTATTTTTTTAATCACTTCCAAATTGATTTTTCCTAACATAATAATAATAATAAAAGTTCGTTTAGGAAGTGGCAAGCTGTTTCACAGGACTACGTCATTACTTGCAGAATTGGTAAGAAATCTTCTGAAGAAGGAATACCGAATCAAATGTTTTGTATATAAATAGACGGCCCCGTACTCCATGCTCTCAAACACTCTCTCTCTCTCTCTCTCTCTCTCTCTCTCTAATAAAAAATTGGTCAGCAAAAATAGATTGCGAGAACAAGATGCCTTCGGCGGCAGCAGCAGCAATACCAATACCAAACTCCCCTATATTCTCACCATCAGCCATGGTTTCTCCATTGTTGTGCAAACCCTCCAATTCTTCTCCTCTAACCCTAAACCTCCACCATGGATCATCATCACCATCGTCAACGCCATCAAATTCATCATCGTCTCCGGCGTGTCTGTTATCACCTCTAACGCTACCGCTGCACAGCCCGCTGAATGATGGTCTGGTTTCTTTTTCTTCTTCTACTTCGCCGACTCTTTTGAACAGGAAGAGGCCAGCGAGGATCAACATTCCAACGCCTTCGTTGAATTTTCCGGCGGCTGTGGTGGATGGGTTGTTGAATGAGGTGGAGTTTCAGGGTGATGGTTATTTTGTCTATTGTAAGAGAGGGAAAAGGGCTGCCATGGAGGATCGCTATTCGGCCCTTGTTAATCTTCTTGGAGATTCTAAACAGGTATTCAGAAATTAAAAATATAAAAAATGTTTTGAGTAAATTTTCAACTTTAATGTCAAATTAATGTGTATCGAATTGCTGAAAATTTGAGGTGATTCAATAGTGTGTGCAAACTTTGAAGTTAGGAAAAAAAATGAAAAAAATCTTTGATTCCTTCATTATCAACTTTGTTCGACAATTTATATCAAAAACTTATATAGCTGACTGTAATATGTAGGTCGTGAGTTCAATTCTTCTTAGGAGGGTTGAATTAAAAGGTATGCAAGCATTTAAGTGCTTTGCTAAGGTGAAGAGATTTTCACTCATAAATACTAATCTAACAACTAAGAGCATCTCCAACGGTGTAGCAAATGTTTCACCAAATCTGAGTCGAAAATGGGTCATTTCCTTAATTTGATACTTCGCGCTCCAACGGTTCAACATCAAATCCATTTCATCAAATTTGCGCTGGGCAACCGGTTGGTTGACCGGCCGGTCGACCGGCCGGTCAACCAACCGGTTGCCCAGCGCAAATTTGATGAAATGAATTTGATGTTGAACCGTTGGAGCGCGAAGTATCAAATTAAGGAAATGACCCATTTTCGACTCAGATTTGGTGAAACATTTGCTACACCGTTGGAGATGCTCTTAGTTGTTAGATTAGTATTTATGAGTGAAAATCTCTTCACCTTAACAAAGCACTTAAATGCTTGCATACCTTTTTTTCAACCCTCCTAAGAAGAATTGAACTCATGACCTACTGAATTATTACTATTGCAGTCAGCTATATGGGGCGACCGGTTGGTTAACCGGTTGGTCAACCGGATGGTCGACCCGTTCGTCTCATCCCAACGGTTAGGAACAGTGTTTTGGTGAAATGCTTCGCCTGCACTCAGTTTGGTACCATTTTTGCTGAATTCTGGATTTGATATCGATTTGGTGAAACCGTTGGAGCTTAAAAAAATGGCTTTTTCACCAAATTTTAAATTTGATGCCAGGTTTGGTTCACCGTTGGAGATGGTCTAACAACTAACATTTGTCGATAAAAAAAAATAGTAATAATTTAATGTTTGATTTCAGTTTTTTGAATTCAATTTTTTGAAAATTGATTTTTATTCTTATTTTTTTTAGTGAAAATTTTTAAAATTTTAAGCATTTTTTTTACTTTTTTAGATGCACCTTACTTAGATGTATCTAAAAAGTAAAATATTTGTGATAAAATATTTCAAAAAATTAATAAATACACAAAAAGACAAAAAATATACCAATTTTTTTTTTGTTGTTGTATTTTTTATTCTTAGTGAATTTTTTAAAGATTTTTTTTATGAAAATTATATTTTTAAATGTATTTATGTTAGGTGTGTCTAAAAATTAAAAAAAAATTGCTTAAAATATTTAAAAAATTCAATAAAAACAAAAAATATATGAAAAATAAGAAAATAGAATTTTCTGAAAAGTGTTTTTAGAAAACCCAAAAACTAATCTACAACCCTTGATAAGAACATCAAATTTAAGTAAAAGATGGTTGTTGCTCATTTGATTCAAAATTTGATTCATCCCCTTTTGATGAAATTTTTTTTATGAGAACTTGATTTGATGTAAGTTTGAAGTTTGATGAATAGATTGGATTTTATTTCATCATATTTTTTATTAATTTTAAATTTGGTAAAAGATTTGAGATGTCTCTATAAGACCATCTCTAACGGTTCACCAAAGTTGACATCAAATTTAAATTTTGATGAAAAAGTTACTGTTTACTACTCCAACGATTGCACCAAATTGATATTAGATTGAGATTTTATCAAACAATTTATCAAACTGAGGACAAGATACTGATTTCACCAAAACACTGTTTGTGACCGTTGGAGAGAGGACCCGGTCGACCAACCGGTTGCCCGATCAGTTGACCAACCGGTCGACCGAATTCCTTTCAAATAGGTTGGTTCAAACTGGTCAAAAAAGGTTCAAACAGGTAAAAAAAAAAAAAAAATACATTTTGCCTTACCGGTTGAAGTTGTTCTGATTACATACCAAGTTCTTGATGAAGATGATGAAGCTGTATGTTAACAATTACATACCAAAACCAAGCTGTATGTTAACAATTACATACCAAAACAATCAATCAAGTTCTTGTTTTGAATCAAAAACCCATTTCGATTCTGGTCTTGTTTATGTATATGGTGGGCACAGTTGTATCCAGATAATTTTGGGTTTCCTTTGGGTGTTTCACAGAATTTGATGGAGAGTGGTTATGGAATCAATGAGCTCTGTTTCAATTTTTCTCAGAATTTGATGGAGAGTGGTTATGGAGAGTGGTTACGAAAATGTTTCAAGCTGCAAAAAAATATATATATATATTTACGCTTACCGGTCGACCAACCGGTTGACCTACGGGATTTGATGCACCGTTGGAACTACTGATATCAGATTTGGTGAAATGAGTCATTTTTTACTCAGATTTAATAAAAAAAAAAAATTCACCATTGGAGATGCTCTAATGAATTTGCTTAGAATTTGATGGTGGAATGGAAAATGAATTATTATAAGAAAATGGAAGCTTGATAAAGTTTTGGTTTTAATACATCTATCCACTCTATTATATTCGACGAAATATGCAACTCAAAAAAAACTGTGTCTCCACTTTTTTTTTGTCCAGAATATTCGTTTACATAGTAATTACTATAATTATCATATTTTAACTGCTTCAAATAACAAATATAATTATTTTAAATTCCTATATGCTAGCCCATACCTCTAGGAGAATATATTTTAAGTAATTAGTAATGATTTCGAAATTTGAGTATCAAGAATTTTTGGAGGACTTGACTTATTTTGCTAATGTACTATTAATGTCTTAATTTTGAAATTTCAAATAGAAATTTTGGCCAAAAATAAAAAAGGAATCAAGGAAATTTTGATATAACTTAGAAACTTTCAGAAACACTTGTTTACTGTATAGAATATGTGTATATATAAAAAAATAAAAAGAGGGGTGTATGACAGTACTTTTTTTCTTTTGTCTTCTATTATTACAGGCTTTCTTTGGTGTTTTTGATGGGCATGGAGGGGGAAAAGCTGCTGAATTTGTGGCAAACAACCTAGATAGAAACATTATGAAGGAAGTGATGAGTAGATGCGAAGAGGAAATCATAGAGGCAATGAAAGATGGGTACCTTTCCACAGACGCGGAGTTTCTAAAGGAAGATTTAAGTGGTGGTACTTGTAGCGTCACGGCAATGATACGTAATGGCAACCTTGTTGTCTCAAATGCTGGTGATTGTCGTGCTGTTTTGAGTCGAGGAGGGGTTGCAGAGGCCCTGACAGATGATCACCGGCCTTCCAGGAAAGACGAAAGAGACCGAATTGAAAATCAGGTAATTAAGATGGTCAAAATTCCTAGCAACGCAGGATGTAAAAAATATCATTCACATTGAAGCTGATTGATTCTTGCAATATCTATCTTGTAGGGTGGCTATGTGGATTGTTGCAATGGAGTTTGGAGAATACAAGGATCTCTTGCTATATCGAGAGCATTTGGGGATCGACATCTTAAACAATGGGTAGTAGCAGAACCAGAGACAACATTATTAAGAATTATACCTGAATGCGAGTTCTTAATTCTTGCTTCTGATGGACTATGGGACAAGGTAAATTGCAAAAATCACATTCATTTAATATGTCATCTAAATTATATCCTAGTTGATTTCATTTCAGAAAGATTTGTATGCCTGATGATTTGTTTGCTATTTTCAGGTTAGTATTCAGGAGGCAGTAGATGTAGTTCGCCCTTCATGTATAGGTGTTGACAAATCGGAGTCAATTTCTGCTTGTAAAAGGCTGGTTGACCTATCAGTAATGAGAGGTTCCATTGATGATATAAGTGTCATGGTGATTCTATTAGCCCACTTTCTTCCATAATTGATAGGTTGATAATACATATAATCTTTTTCAGAATGTTCCCAACCTCTCAATCAATTGTATCATCTATGCATGTTTTTCACATTTCTTCCCCCATAGAGTTTTTTTAACAAAGTTGTAACGGGAAAGTGAGGGAAGAAGTGTTTTTTTGTGTGTAAATTATATCCCATTCTAAGTGAATGGGTGATGTAGTGGATGCCAATTACCAACATTAGGAATTTTAGTTTTAGTTTGTCAAAAAAGTTAAGCCTTTTTGAGTTAACCGTCGGGTGTGATGTTTTATAATCATTTGTTGTCATGCTTTGAGTTACAATTATTCACCATGGAAATAACAGGATGGTATATGGAATTATGAATTAGGCATGTCAATGGATCAAATTTAGACCGGATATTTGTTGTAATACGAATTCGAGCCAATTAAAAAAAAAATCTTAATCCAAATGCAATCACATTATGCTAAATCTAATAAAATATCCTTTAAATATGGCTTATCCAGCTACCCAACCCTATTTGGATGTGATTATAGTATAGAATTATTTGATGTGATTGGACGTTATTTGACTATTGTGTTATATTTGATTAAAATGAGATAAAGAATATGACAAAATTTTGAAGGTTATTGCACCAAACAATCACGTAGGTAATGACATTACACTTTATTTTTAAAATTTCACTCCTTTTACAAGAGGGTAAAAGATAAAAATTAAAAGTAAGAAAATTTACTTATAAATCTCATCTTAAAAAATGGTGATCCATTTAGTCTTAAAGATTTTCTTAGTTAATGGCATTGAAAGTTATTGCACCAAACAATCACGTAGGTAATGACATTGCCCAAAACTAAAACTAATTTAAGAAAAAATAAAATATAAAAACAAAAATAAAATTATTTGAAATAAAAATGATTTATTTATTAATTTTTTAATTTTTTAAAATAAAATTTTTAAATAAAACAAAGAAAACTATATATTAAAAAAAGTACAGAAACTAAATATAAATACAATATAATAAATAAATAAATTATAGGATTTTCAAGAAGTGAGACTCAAACAAATTTTGTAAAACCTTGTCTATTTATATACTTTTGGTGTATATTTTTTGTACTTCTAATCCCTGAGAATGACATTGAAATAGCCTGCACTTTTTGCATTAGATTCATCTAATAGTTTTAGCAAATACAAATGTAATAAATCTCATAACACAAAATTCAAATAATTGTGAGACAAAGTATCTAAAAAATTGAAAGCAACGTTCAATGATGATATAGATGCACACCTGACGTTTTAATTGGAGGTATAACCAGATATATCACCAAAGAAAAGGAAGACAACATTTATTTTTCATCAAGATAATTACATAACGTAATATATAATTTTAGGGTCCAGCTTTTCTCATGTTTAGATCAAGACTGGACCCGTCTAGTCCGTCCCATGGGCTTATTTTTTGGCCCCGTTGTCAATAATATGAACCGTTCAATCTATAGAACTCATCAAGTATTATATCCCTGCAAAAAATCACGTTGATCGGATATCGATGACTATTTGATCAGATCAGATTTGTCTTATAAATAATGAACGGTGAAAAAATAAATGGATGACAGAATTTTGATATGATCAAATAGCTATCAATATCCGATCAACGTGACTTTTTACAAAGATATAGTGCTCAACGAGTTCTACATATTGAATGATTCAGAATATCGCAACGGGGCCCAAAAATGAGCCCATGGGCCGGACTGGATGGGTCCAGTCTTGATCTCAACATGAAACAAGCTGGACCCATAATTTTAATGTCTCTCACTCTTCCATACGTCTAATTCTCTATCAATAATGAATACATGAACACAAAAAATGGAACATTTGAGAAGACAAATAGATGTGGTTCGAAACCTTTCAATTGCTTAATTAATAGTTATCAGGCTTTAATGGTCGGGCTTCTAATATTTGTTAGCCATTAAAGCTGAGTTATTTGGTTTCATCTATATGCACTTGATGATTTGAGAGTGGATACATGTCAAGCCTTCACACAAACACTTGACACATTTTTTGAGCATTATTAATGAGATGCACATTGTAATTTTTTTTTTTCTATTTTTTTTCTTGTAACCTGTTATTTTTTAATAAGAATTTATATTTATTTTAAATATTTTTTTAATATATAGATTTTTTTTATATAAATAATTTGATAATTCCATCACTAACCATAGTGTATGGGAGAAGTTGAAAAGTGTGGCAATGGAAGTTAAAAAGGTTTGTGGGTTGAGAGAAGTTAATAAATGTTAAGGGTTTTTTTTTTTTAAATCAAAAAATTAAAATATTAAAATTGGAATATTAAAGTTCCCACATGGCTTGCGTGTTAAAATTTTTATTTTTCTTATATAATATATAGATAGATTTCAACATTTTAGTTGTAAACATTTTTTAACAACCGTAATTGGCCGTGATCTATAGCTATCATATGAAAAGTCATGAATGAGGCGGATTAATGGTTAAATGTTGTTTATCACCCTCCTGAAGTCACTCAGGATTTAGTTTTCGATAATTACTTGATATGTGTTGAAGGAAAATTACTTATATGTATAATGTATGTAAAAAATATTCAAGACAACATTTTAGATATATCTGGTTAGGTATGTGAATAAAATTGTGAATTCCATAAGTGTAAGAAGGATTAAATACACTTGTTTAAAATAATACTTATAATTTTAGATTTGTATGAGTTAAATTCATTTTATCCCTTGTAGCACTTTATCCCTTACGGTTCATATATAGTTAAAAAAGCTCCTATGTGGTTTTCGATTGAAGTGCTACCGTTAATTTTTCTATCAAAACTAACGGAAAGTATATCACACACACCACTTTTGAGAGTGGATTTGGTTTTCTAAAAAAATTAAGTGAAATTAATACAATAAAAAGAAAATTTTACCCCATTTTCTTAAAACCAAAAATTATATTAATATCTTAATTAAAATAAAATAAAATAAAATAAAATTAAGGATTGATCTAAAATGTAAAATATAATTAAGGGTTGATTTAAAATATAATTAAATAAAACTATAAGATAATTAATAATTAATGATTGATCTAAAATATAATTAAAATAACATGTTAGGAATTGCAATAAATAATAAATAATTTATGATTAATTAGTATCTAATATATAATTAAATTAGATTTAAATTAAATAAAAAAGTTAGAATTACAGTAAATAGTTAAGGATTTAGAATTAATTGTGATTTAAAATATAATTAAATTAAAATTAAAATTAAAAAACAATTACAATAAATAAATAAGAATTTATAATTAATTATGATTTAATTGAATTAATGTTAAACATTATAAATTATGTGTATGAGAAAGGGAATAAAAAAATAAAAAAACTAAATTATAGGGTTTGAGGGTATTATAGTCATTTCACATATATAGTTATTGGTGTTAAGAGATGCACTTTAGTCTAAAATCACATGGTGACTACTGTTAGGCATAGAGTTATCCGAACCAATCAGCACACAAATAGGCAGTTTCGCAAACACAAGGCGGGCAGATACAGTTTGGAATATTGTGGGTTGCGGGTTTAGGGTTTAATCCACACTCGCATGAATCCGCCCGTACTTAGACTTTTTTTATTAAAAAAAAAATCCTGAACCGTTGTTATTATTGCATTTTAGATGAATATAAAAGTTTATGAAGAATTAATTTTAGGTAAACTTAGAATCTTGAATAATTTTACTTTAATTGTATTGTTGGGTAATAGATAGTGAATAAGATTGATAATTTAGTTTAGGATTTTGAAAGATGTGCTTGTGTTAGTTTATGATTTGATTTAAAAGTTTAGGATTTTGAATGATTTATTTGTGTTAAGAATTGATTTTGTTGTGTTTTTAATTTTATAAGTTTTAATTCATTAATTATTAATTTTGAAGCATTTTAGAAAATTGGGGGATGTAAGGTCCCGGTGTCCCACATCAAGAATGGAGGGGGAGTTCCTAAGTTATAAAAGTAAAAACTTGGACCCTTATATAGCATCGAGGCCTTTTCTAGAGTAGTGAAATCCCTAGCAAAACTTCCGAGTTAAGCGTGCTTAGGCTGGAGTAGTTCTCGGATGGGTGACCCACTGAGAAGAACAAATTCGTGCGGGCGGGGGCCCAAAGCGGACAATATCGATGATATGTGAAGGGTTGGGGCATTAGAAATGGTATCAGAGCCGACTCTCTGAAGTACTAAGTGTGGGCCACTAGCATCTCTCGGTGCATGTGGGCGGGCATGTGAGTTGGCAGGCTACTACACGGGAACGTCACTACAGGAAAAAGCACATTCGGTAACTAAATTTCCCAACTAAAAAAAATTTGGTCGCTGAAAGAACCAAAACAGCATTAGTAGCCAAAAGTAAAGCTTTTTGGCGACTAAATAGCCAAAAGTTTACAATTAGCGACTAAAACTAAGTTTGGTCGCTGATTATATGGGTTTTAGTGACTAAAAAAATTTTAGTAGCCCAAAGTAAAGCTTTTTGGCAACAAAAAAAATTTAGTAGCCAAATGTTTACAATTGGCAACTAAAAATAAGTTTGGTTGCTGATTATATGGGTTTTACCGACTAAAAAAATTTTAGTAGCCAAAAGTCTACAATTGGGGACAAGAAAATAAGTTTAGCCGCCAAAAGTGGTCATTTTTAGCACGGGAGAACAAAAATCCTAAGGCGGGAATTAAATTTTTTGGCGACCAAAAATTTGGTAGCTGAAAGTGCATCTTCGGCGACCAAATCCGACTTTGGTGGGCAAAAGTTATGTTTTTTAGCGACTAAAAAACAATTAGTAGCCAAAAGTATAGAATTGACGACTAAAAAATATGTTTGGTTGCCAAAAGTGGTCCTTTTTTTTTTTGTTACTAAATAGTTTATTTTACATAAATTATTGTTCAATAAAATAATTATGTTTATGCATATACTTTTATATCATTATGGATGTATGTACTATATAAATAATATATGTCACATATATAATTATGTGGTACTATAGAGGTGTAGTGGGAAGAGTGTGGTGCATAAGGTTTATGGTGTGGGAGGTTGGCTGTTTGAATCTCTATAAGAGTGGATCAAATTGTTCTACAACTAATTTTTTTTTTTTTTCACGTTTAAAGCTTTTGGCGACTAAAGGTGTTGGTCGCTGATTAGTTACTTTTTGCGACTGAAGGTGTTGGTCGGCGATTCCTTGACTATTGGTGACTAAAAT